GCAGTAAGTTAATCGTCGTATTAGTCGTATTGTGTTTAAAACTATTTATTAAGAAACCCGACTCTCTCTTGTTGTCAAGAACCGTAGCTTGGGCTGCCTGAATTAGTTGTAGCACGTTTGACGGGTTCATAACTTTTAATTATTATGGGAATTACAATACTTATAAAGAAATGGAATACAAGTTTCTTTAAAAACAAATTAATATTATTACGGTGGTGACTTCGATATTTTCTTGTTTTTTTTTGGCATTGCACGTGTCATATAACCGAAATATTTAAAGTTTTTTTTTAATATAAAGATCATGTCAAGGCAGCATAAAATATGTTTTGACCTCTGGAGAACTAGGTTAAAACCGTAAGGGTTTTGAAAGGTAGCCTTAAGATTCCAAAGAGGTCGTTTATTCCTTTTTCTTTTTTACCTATTCCGTACGTTTGCGTTGCTTTGGAGTGTTGCATTTTTTTAACCCAAAAATTTACGCAAAAATGACGAGGTGTTATATGTTTGACGTGTCTGCGTGTGTACGATGAACCGAGTTTGATTTTGTTTTTTTTTTGTTTGAAAGGTGAATTAGTCGGGAGTGTTCCCAGCTGTTTGATGAAAATCGGTCCAAGATGGCCGCCGCCAGAAAATGGCGTATTACATATTTTTTCACAACTTTCTCAATATTGGTATCAAAAGGGCTTGACTAGTAAAATACTATACACTATGACAAATTCCAAATCCAAGATGTGTGTCGGGGTTTTTTTAAATTAATTTTGTGATAAGATTGTTATTGTTATTAAATTGATTACCTTTAAGTACTTCTAATGGATATCTAGTAGTAGGAGACGATAATAAAAAGAAACGGTTTTTTTTCCACGACGAGACTGCATGACGCCAAATCATTTATTGTTTTTCCCATCTCATACGACTTCAATTTTGTTGGTCAACGATTAAATATTATAGATTATAACTATAAATTTTTTAGAATAATCTATACTCAAGAGCAATGCATCTTGGTCAGATTCTGAAAGACCACCTTCAAGCGGGGAACATTAGCAGTGTGGAGTGGTAATCCCGAAACTCAGACATATACCTGATCTAGCATGTTTGCGACTACACGCTTTGTAAGCGATAAATATGCTCTATATTTCCCAAAGCCGTCCAAAAAACTTGGGATTTAGCAAGCTAAACCAGCACAGTAATGACAGCACATGGAGGTAACACAAAGTAGGATATTAAAATTTTATTTGCAGAATTATTACTATAGTATTTTTTTACTTTTGTACATAAATATGAATAAGTAACCCGGATCCTGCTCTCGAGTGTATTTTAGCACTTACACACAATATTAAATAAATAGTATTTAGTCTCGCTACGAATCACGATTCTAAATACACGTTTGTTTATTGACATTTTATACCTTAGCAAACGATTACCAGAGTTATAGCAAAGTACACAAAGGACTCATCTTTATAAATCTGTTTCTAAGTAAACAATAATATTTAAATGGTGTTCAACCTGAATTGATGACTAACAAAATTTACATTGATCCAAACGAAGTCCCGAGCAAGTTATAAAATCTAAAATGCAAGGCGTGTCCATAATACATACATATAATTATTAATCAAAGACTAAAAATATCTAATAGGTTTATACGTCAGTAATCCATTGATACGTAAACTGTACGATAAGATATTATTATGTAACGTATTCAATTGATATAAAATGCGTGCTAGCAATAGATTATAAAGATCAAAATGTATAGGAACTTAATGCAAATTTATTTCGATTTATGACGTCTGCTATTTCTCACTGGCCTAAAAGAGGGCCTAATACAAATTTAAACCAGTTCTAACTTTAGTTGAATTTTATTTGTGAATGTAGTTTGAATGACAATACTACAATTTGACCTCTTAGAGATGATCTGATGATGGAGCTGGAAGGTAGATAGTAGAACTCTTGACTACCTACTAGCAGCCAATAAAGAGTTAACTAACATCCTAAATGTGTAGCATTCTATAGCAAGCTTATGTGGTTACGTTTATAGTATAACACACTAATACTTAGCAGTTTGTTTGGTAGTAGGTATAGTGTAGCAGAAATACAGTACCTGATGTACATTGACTGTTAAAGTTGTAAGTAATTTCCAAATACTGCCACTTGATTAACGAATTACGATACCGTATCTTCTACTTCAAGAGTCCCAGCTGTCAAGCTCGGGGAGTAAAAAATAATTATCAATGTAACCTAGGCGAGAACTTGAAACAATTTAACACATCTACGGCACAAATCTAAGAAAATCTGCTTGACCGTTGGTTTAAAATAAAAGGCATCTCTGGAGAGTCTCCAGAGATGCCGTCTCTTACCCTATTCAAAGTACCTACTGAGATGGGTGGTGTTGAAACCTCAAAATATATGCAGTGCGGTATTATCATTCCATGTCAGCTTCGGTATTTAAACATCAAGGCTCCTTTTTATCTGGTATTTCTTGAGAAATACCAGATAACTTTGACTGTATATACGGACATACATATTGAAAGTATAGTAAGTTTCTGTTCCAAGGTTTACTTCGTAATGACTTCAAGGATTATTTTTGACCATCACACTACTCGCTCAGACTTTCTCAACTTTAAACCACAAAGCTGTGCATTGGGCGATACGATAGAAATCTTCTTTCACTAAATATGTATAATGACCTTTATGATACGTTTTTTCTTCGAACCACAGTAAGTACATTTTCAAAAAGAATTAAAAAAAATATTGTATGGTCGGCAAGGTGTACGTGGTCCCCTCGTAACTACGAGTACACACATACATATATGGGTTAGGAGGCAGGCGCAGGAAAGTTCTGATGGGAATAGAAAATTCTCAATGGTGTACACCCCTTACAATAATTCTATAGAAGCCCGTGATTAGACAACACTTACAATCTACTTTTCATCATCCCGGTCCTGTATGTTTTATTATTATTTACGATTTTCTGGCTTTTGAAAAAAGAAATCCTAAATACTTTGCATTCGATTGTAAAAAAAAACAAATTTCGAAACATATCCTTTTTTTATCGGTAGACAGGGTCACAAAAACATCATCGTATTTAACTACGTTTCCTGATTGATGTACTCCACAAAGCTCAATACTACCTACGCCCTTCGTCGCTTTGGGACGTAATATAAATATCGCTGAAATCTGGATACATACATTTATCTACCCGTTCTAGGGCAGGTCTCTCGGGAGTTATTGGCGTGACGATAATAGGGACTTGTGTAAGTGTGTGAGTTAGCTCCAGGTGTGCTACTTTATTTTTATAGCTGGGTTTTAATATAAGATATATATTATATCAATATCCAAGATGTCTTTAAAAACTGACATACGATGGGTAAGTGAGCAAAAATAAAGAGATACGACAACGACGTAGGCAATAATTGATAATGTAGTAGTGTATTTAAAAGCTTTTATTTTTAAAGTCAAATTCAAATTTTGTCAAGTTCGATTACTCATCACAAGAATCGTCCGTTTACGCGTATGAGGAATATAAAAGCTCACTGACACCTCACTTTATTTGTAAAGGACGAAATAAAGAATCAGTAGTACCAATAATAAGTAAGTAATAAACGACCGATCAGCGGCAACAAGTGTTTGAAGTAACAAACAAACATTCAAAATACTCAAATGATAAAATAAAATAAAAATATCAATTACAAACACAAAATACATGAACTAAAACGTTTAAAGTTTTAAAATTTTGTTTTCAATTAACAAAGTCTTGAAATACCTATGTATTTATAAAGAAAAGTTTATTTAGTGTCTACGTCTATTCTTTCAAAAATTCTATTGCAGATCGCTTAGTTGTACTACTTTACATTGAAATCTACAAAAAACAGTCGAAATAGAAGAAAATTCGGTTTCCCATACCTATATGGATAAAAATGGAACTGTAAAATCAATGTTGAATACATTGATTAGGTACTAGATATCAGTTGACTATAATAATATTGTAACAATAGCTATATAGTAGGAACTGAAGACCTGGGGACCTGGGAAAACCCGAAAGAGTGTGTGTCTGACTCATGCACTGAGGATTTCGTACAGACTTGTATGTAGATTGTTCGTCCTTTTGAGAATCGATTCTCGAAGCGTAGCCTTTTTATTCCGAGTGACATACATAACTTTGCAGGTGTAAGGATAGGTCCCACATCCATACTAATATTATAAGTGAGAAAGTGTGTCTGTCTGTCTGTTACCTCTTCAAAATGCAAAAGTAAATAACCAACGGGAAAATATAAATTGGTAATCGAAAAAATTTAATGACATGTAACAACAAATTAATGACTTGCAAGATTTTGATATATCTGCGAAATGTTAAAATATGTATTATGACAGAAATTACTTTATCTTTTGATTCCTAAGGACATCACAGATGGACAAGTAGATAGATGGAACGAAACCCTAAAAGTTAGGTTATTTACTAAATTCATACTAAATATATGAAGATATTTCATTTTTTGTGAGATTTGAAGAACGTTTTAATATTATATAAAGAATTATTTGAGGCTATTTATTATTACAGCGTAGAGGAGCACCATCACGACAATAAGGTTAGGAGTGCAGCAGTGATGATAAACATAGGTGAAAATTCGAGAAATGGTTAGTAATGTGCAATTTTTGCATGCCATGACAACAAAAGTGGAACGTTTGATCAATATTTGAAGTTATGTTAGATCTTATATCAGAGTTTAGACTGTATACTGTTCAGTCTGTGTGCTACGTAATGTGAATATATAAGAAACATAGTTCCACGTCAATGAAAAATTTAATTTCTCATCAATCATTCACTTCGGTTTATAATGCATTTTAACACGAACAAATTACACGTCGTCTAATGCAACAACGTTACTAATTTACATAAGTCAAACTAGTCATGTTGTGCAATGTACCGTATTGCAGTATAATGAACTTTGGTGATAACGTTAATCAAATGAATAACCTATATTTATTATATTACATGTTAATAATTAATATTACCTTGAATCACTTGAGTGTAAGGGCCATTGTATGCCGAATAACTTCAATCTGGCTGGAGGGCGCCGCTTCTGCTCTGTACGGGGCTCCTCAACAGGAGGTGTGTGATGTCTACTCCCAGAAGATGCTCTAGTTCCACTTCTACGTCGTCTCCTACGCCTTCTTTCAACCAGTATAAAATTATCCCCGTTTCTTATAATATAGGATGAGCGTAGAGTCGATTTCTCCTCACCCTGTCTTTGTCTTATCAAGTCAGCTGTTCTCAGTGTATGTATGTTCTGATACTCAGCCTCCTGGGGAGCGGACGATGGCACTTCTCTTGTGGTGCTAGTCCCGCTTCCATCCCTCTTCTTACGGGAGGAATGGAGACCCACCCGACGCCAAACCTTTTCCATCTGTATTTAATGTCATCCCATTATAATTCTCACTAATGGTCACAGTCCAAAAGCTAATAATCACTTGTTACTTAACTGCACACATACAATGCTTACTTTAACAAATATACTATAATAAATCCTTATTATTCACGGGTTTTACACAAAATATGTTCGAGATTTTGAAATAAATATTCACACAAATGATTCACTGTCCAATCAGCCGTTACCTATCATTGTTCGGGCTGATAACAATTGCACGAGTGTTCAAGTAAGACGCCAGGTAGTAAGGTCCAAATCACAGATATAAATGTGTATTATTAATTTCTCTTATTGAGACGTACTAGGTTAGTAGAATTAGGGGAGAGAATAACGTGTTTTTTGACATGGCACTTGCACAGTCCCGGCCCTAACAGGGTGCGGGTGAAAGCTTTGCGCATGCGCGGTTCCCCTCGCCCGAAGCCCTCGTATGCCCGAAGCTCCAAAATGGCGGACTTCCCACCCCTGCCTTTTATCGAATAGGTATCTAATTTTACCGGTATGCATTTAGTGTCAGATACAATGCATGAATAGACCTAAGTTGTTTGCTCTGTCAGCCTGATTAACCTGACCTAAATAATCCAATTTCAGTTAGACGTGGAAGCCAAATGGCTTTTAGAGTTGGTTTTCCTGTTAATTATATTTTACCAGTCTGTTTTGTACCCTATTGATATATTGTGAGCATTGAAGAATAATAGTAATAAAGCAAACTTTTTTGTAAACAAGCTTTTATTTCAGCCGTTCTAAAAAAATGAAATAAAGTCAAGTTAGTCTAGATTAGGTCTCAAAGAATGTTTAAACCTGTCACAATTACCTACAAAAGGGGAATGTTAGTGATATTGTAAGTAAAAGATTTAGGAGAGTTAAGATTAAGTATCACCTACACTATAAGGAAATGATAAACAGTATTAAAAGGCATAGATTATTTATGCATTTCAAATAGATACTATAATAATAAACGCAAATATTTGTGAAATTTCATGGTATTATGGTTTACTTTGATGGCATTACTTGTTGGTATTATTTATAGTAGGTATATAGTGTGCTAATTAGTGGTGTTTAAACAGAAATCGGCACATTTTTTAACTGTAACAAAACCAAAGGAATCTATTTATATTTAATTTTTAAAAGGACACTGGTAGCCAGGATTTGCACCATTTGGCTTGTGATTGTTGTAAGACAACTTATAATGATTTTATAAATATAAAAACTGTTTCAATCAAACAGTTTTTATATTTATAAAATCATTATAAGTTACATCCATCTCCTGATAGATTGATTTATTATTATATTGATTTATTATTATTAGGAATTATAAAAAAAAATGGGAAGTAAATAATATTCTACGCCTGGCGGTGGAATGCCGAACGTTTTGAAAGTGTTGATTTGTGTCACTAACCAGTATAACATGAACTCTACTGTAGGTACAGACTTTTGTACCGTGAACAAATATCATCCTTGTTTGTTTGTAAGATTTTATCTCCAGACTTAAACGTGACACGAATATGCACGAATTTACATTAGTCTGGGAGTTTCAGTTTATTTTTATTTATACAATTTACAAAAACAACGCTTCCATGTATCTTAGACTTCTTAGAGATATTTATCTTAGACTTTTCATGCGCCCGAAAACCCATAGCACAAGCTCTGTTTCGTTAAGGCCTAAACCGTGATGTTTAATTATGTTCGAAGTGCCAATATTAATATTAAGTTGGACTGCCTCGGTGGTGCAGCGGTAGCTTATGCGACTGCTGTGCTGAGGTCTCGGGTTCAAATGCTGGGCCCAGACCAAATGTTTGTATGATCTGCAAAATATTTGTTTCAGAGTTTGAGTATTTCCTATGTATAATTTATATTTAAGTATTTTACTATCAGTCAATCTAGCTATCATAGTATAATCTCTGCTTAGTTTGAAACTAGATGGCGTTGTGTGTCAGATGTCCGAAAATATGATGATTATTATTATAGGCACACGGCCTACAACACATTTTGACTTTTAATTTATGTAGACGCCTAAAGTGCAGACAATCTGTATGTGTGACTTAGCGTTTTACTTCAATATAATTAACAATAATCAAAAGTGTTATAACCAATAGTGGCAAGGACGTAGCTAGGATGTATTCTTTTAGTACAGGGTAAAACCTAGAAAAAGGAATTATAAAAAAAATGGGAAGTAAATAATATTCTACGCCTGGTGGTGGAATGCCGAACGTTTTGAAAGTGTTAATTTGTGTCACTAACCAGTATAACATGAACTCTACTGTAGGTACAGACTTTTGTACCGTGACAGGTCAAAATATATATTATGTGATAGCTTTATGTTGCCGTTTTAAAATATTTTTTTTCTTCAGAGCACATATTGTTTAAATATGTGCTTAAAATCTACTTAGAAATCTGCTATACCTACTACATAAGAGGCAAGTCCCTGAGAAACGTGCGAACAAGCACTTACATGACACTATAAAAAAAATCTCAGTTGCTTATTGAATTAGTCTACATTTTTACAGCGTGAAACTTATAAAACAATTCTTTATTTTCGAGAAAAAATCCTTAACATTGATCAAAATCATCGAAATCGACCTTTGCCATTTTGAAAACTTCTACTATTTCGTTGTTCTATTTGAAAATAGTTTAGTAGTTTTAATCACGAGAAAAAAAGTATAGATAATACATTCACCTTTCAACTTATTGACTAATTCGGACCAAAAAGCTACAATCTAAGCTTAAATTTTTTTTTTAGCAAAAAAAATCCCCGTTTTCCATACATTTTAGTACGTAAATATTGTCTGACGTAATGTGCAAGAAATAAGAGTATATGCGAGCAAAACCTCCAGTGCCACAAGAAGATTCAAAGCGACAGCACGTCCGTTCGTAGTTCATTCGAACATACATCCGAAAAGTTCGGACAAGCATAAAGGTAGGTTGCGAGTGTCGGACTCTCGCTACTGCTAATTTAGTCTTCGAGCAAAATTTAGAGGAACTAGGTATGTGAGTTTTATTTTGTATTTTTTTACGAATTAATATCAAACACAAACGCTGGTACTCATTAATCCTAACTTATTTTTAACCTTTTTCAGATAGGTATGTATAAAAATTATCAACACAAAGCAGTAAGTATCAATAATGTAGGTACTCACTTTTTTACCCGACTGTGCAAAGCCTTAAAAGATGTCTAACGATTCAAGAGCTTTGACTTAGTAACACAAACAAAAAGTAACGTAAATAAACAAATTGTACAAAGATATTCCTTTGACGGGCCTGTTGGTCTAGCTAGTGGTTAGTAAACCTGACTGCTAAGCTGGAGGTCGTGGGTTCGATTCCCACCCAGGACAAATATTGTGTGATGAGTTCGTTATTTGTTCTGTGTCTGGGTGTAATTTTTCTATAAAACTATTTTCTATGTATTTAGTAATATATATGTACATTTATCAGCAGATTGGTTACCATAGAACAGGCTCTTCCTAGTATTTGGACCAGACTGCCGTGTGTGAGGTGTGTGAAGTCATTTTTATTATATTTAAAAAAAAAAGCAATAATGATTGTTTCAGGAGACAAGAATTTTCAATACAGGATAGACAGGAAAATCGATGTTAGAGAGCCCATGTACTTGCTCGAGGCTATTAAAAAAAGAGAAGCTATATTCTACTATGCCTCTACCCCTTGGAAAATAGTTAGCTATAGGTATACATTTATTTTGATAATTATATGACAAAACAGATTGTTATTGTGTGTTTCAATTTACGACTTTAGTCTACATAAGAGATTATTTCATAAAAAAATAAAATAATTTTGAAATAAAGATGCTTTGACTAAATCGCTTTGTAAATTTTAATCTGTATTCACCTTTTTTTTAAATAAATAAATAAGAAATAAAATTTTATCTATGAAACACACATTTCCAATATCACACAGAATATTAACTTGACAATTTCCTAGATTTCTCCATAAAAACTAATAGTTTTAACATAATATCCACAAAGCGTACACTTGGACCACATTCTTTGTCGCCGGCTAGTACGGGCCTACGCACTACGCACTACGCCCTTTTTTTTTCCGTGCGGAAATCCCCTCGGATACCGCCTATCGGTGGCATGTCGGACTCGAACCGACTAAAACCGCACGCCGTCTCGGGTACTAATAGCCGGGGAACCAGGTATACCCTAGAAAGGAAGTCCCTGGTGCAACTACGCATTACGCCCTGGACACTACGAGACCGCGAGCTTCGTGATGCGTTACGATACATTGTGTGTTTTTTGTGACATTTATCCACAATGTACAAAGACGAAGAGGTGGTGAAATACGAAAGCCGAAAGTATATTGATTAGTGTACAGAGTAGTATAATACTTTGGAGACTTCAGTAATATAATATAATAATAATATATCTCACACACTCACACACGGCCGTCTGATCCCAAACTAGGCAGAGCCTGTACTATGGTAACCAGACCGCTGATAAACATACTTATATATTTCTAAATACATACATATTATAGATAAATTACACCCAGACACAGAACAAATGACCGTGCTCATCACACAATATTTGTCCTGGGTGGGAATCGAACCCACGACCTCCGGTTTAGCAGTCAGGGTCACTAACCACTAGACCAACAGGCCCGTCGTTCAGTCTTAACATATCTTTATTTTCTTTAGGAAGGACTAACTCCACGTGTCCACGTTATATTTTTTTTATGCAGACTTGATGAGGTTATAATTAATAACTACTTCCATAGAGAGCGCTTTTATAATTTTTCGACAAAACTTAAAAAGTGTCGCCCTCTTTTCTAAATGCTTAAATATAATAATCAAAACTAAACTGATATTATTAAGAGAAGACGTCTGAAATTCTTTATTTTTATAACTAACTATCCGCCCTGGCTCCGCACGGGTGCAATTTATAGTGTTATTATTAGACTACACTACAGGATACCTTCAGGTATATAGTATATCGCGGCACTGTGCGACTCACTTGTGACTTCGTATGCTAAGAATTAAATATTGTTTTTTTTCTGCGACTAGTTCCCGGTTTGCGAGCGGCTAAAGGTTGTGTATAGTGTTTAAAGAATATCAGTAAGTTTTTACTGTTTTTAAACAGAAATATAGTGCTGAATTATTTTATTACGTCTATTAGTAAGTAAATTTATTTTCTTTCTAAAAGTGGGTAGGAGGTATCTTTTGTTTGTATTGATTTTTCTTTGGATGTTGTTTATTTTTAAGCTTGTTATTTTTGAAATTGTTGTTTGGTGTGTCTTTGTTTGGCTATGTCGGTTGTTAGCGAGTTGCCGGATCCCGACGGCACAAGTGAATTTCTAAAGACAACCGGGAAAAGGTTATTTAGCGAAATGTCACCTACGGATTTCTGGCCGAAAGACAATAGATGTAAACGCATTAATACTTCGGATTTAAGTAGGAAAGTTTTGACTCTTAGCAGTCGTGATAGCTGTGGGGAGTATAATTACTGCGAGTTAGTATCACAGAAAACCAATTATTTGGCAAAAAATAATGAATTGGTGAACGATCAGGGATCACGAATGAATGTAGATAATAAAACGGCAATTATTGAAATTACTCAACGGATTACCGGTATCGTATCAATGCTGGCAATAAAATCCTTTAGCCACGAAATGAAATTAGCAAATTTTGAGCGTTAAATGGAGGGTATCCCAACTCAACAATCGTATTTAACATACGCGGACAAACTTAAGCTTCACTTACCACCTAAATCTGCGCCGTGCTCGGTACCCACTGAAGCGCGCGTTCCTGGGACCTGTGTTATTGCATATCCCACTACGGAACACTCAGCGGACTATTCGACCTCGTCAGCAACGAAACAGGCTCTCATGAATTCTATTAAACCTAGCGATGAGGGTTTCCAAATTGTAGGTGTTAAAAAATCTGTAGATGCCATTAAGTTAGCAGGGTTACGATTAGAAAAACCGAAAGGCCAAAGGCCCCATATAATTGTAAAAGACGTACCCGGTTCTATGGAGGATCGTACCTTCCTAACAGCTTTATATCGTCAAGGATGAATATCAAGGACGAATTAAAATTAAGTGAGAATGACTTTATTAAGACAACCAAAATTGTTAGGCATCGTAAACTAGTAGGTAAATGGGCGTCAATGGATAGGTTTAGAATTAGAAGCAGCGAAAGCGCCGAAATACTATCAGAAACTTTCAAATACTGTGCTGATGTGTCTTTTGGCCGTGGATCTATCGTTAACACTTGTAGATGTGATTGATGGAATGATAAATTAGCCAAACTACGTAGAAAATGACACTGATCATCACCGACAGATCAGGCAGTGAGCCATCGAACCACCACTGTCTTCAATGTCTGACTTACCATCTTCAGACGAATTTCTCAGTATTGTTAGATCCTTGCCGCTAAACAAGGCTTCGGGCGATGATAAAATATCAAACAAAATGATAAAAGAAACTTGTAAACTTTTTGACTGTTTTTAAACGTTGCATTGCGGACGGAATATTTGTATTGCCAACTCCTCCAATTTTCTTCTGATTAATTTCATTGCGAGTTCCAAGACAGTTTAATTTTTTTTCTGGGACTTCCCGAGTGTCATAACTCGGTGTATTCGTGTACAGGAGTTACAGTGGTGAGCTTGCCGGAGGGATTAGTCCCATTAAAAAATAATTGTATAAAATAATTTATTTATGTATCTTTCATAACTATTATCAATTTGACCAATATTGTTTTAAGTTGTAATTATATAAATATAAAGAGTTACTGAAAATGAAAAATATAAAGACCATGAGGCAAACCATTTTACAGCCCAATAAAAAGTTTAGATGGTGACGAAACGCGGAACTACCCATTTCCTATCTGGAAAGTTCGGCAATGTCATTGCTAAGAGTTTCCAATTTGGTAACAACGCCCAGGTTTATGTTTATGGTAAAGACGGTACTGCCCGGGTTATCTAGTAATAAAATAGATAGCAAAAAAAGTTACGCTGCGCAATCGCAATCCACCTGTAGCGACTCAGCGGTCGCAGCAAGTCGCCAGATCGCGCGACTATCGGTCATCAGTCGCGGGCACGCGCTGCACTGAGTCATTTAATTCTATACGTTCTATCAAGTCGTCACCAGTCGGCGCGAACGAAGTCGCGCGACATCGCTTGCATGCTGCTGAAAAAATATAGTGAGTTACGTTAATACGTAAAATACGTTTGAGCTTTTTTTGTAATATTTGTGGCATGTTGTCTTCAATCTGATTATTACTAAATAAACCATGATTATTATTATTATTATTTATTTATTTTTTTTTTAACGGGGTGGAAGATCCTCATGGATGTCCTTCGCCCAGTGGGGAATGGCGAAGAGGTCTGTCGGACTCTTACCGACTAAAAACCACCTCGGTGATCCTCTCCTTGCCAATGGCCGGGGAGCGAGAATCGCAATTGCATTCTTTCGCCACCCCCGACAGGCATTGGCCCGTCTCGCCTAAGACGGGTCTCGTCACCTGTTGCGACCTTTCGGTCGCAGTCCTCTAGGAATGCACACGGAACACTGTGCGCTCCCTCTTGGGCCTGTATCTGTTCAGACGACAAATCCCCCGAAGTCGTCGCCCGCAGGCCACTTTCTAAGGTGGCCGGAGATCGACAAGTGCCCTCCGGCGCCCGGTGCGCCTTCTGCGGGTAGAGACAGCGATGTTGCGTTCTCTCTCCCGTCCTGCCGCTTCCTTTGCGGACATCACATGTTCGCAAAAGGAAGCGAAGGCGCTCCATGCACTCTCGCTACGGACCATGGATAAAACCAAGATCGGAAGCGAGAGGCCACCCGCAGAACTGACTGCCGCGATAAGATCACGACGCTGGCTAGCCCAAGATGAGCATTCTGCCAGCGTGTGCAGCGATGTGTCGTCAGGACAGTCGTCACAGTGATGGCACCGTGACGTCGGCTCCCGGCCGATCCGACACAAATACTTGCCGAAGCAACCATGTCCGGAAAGCACCTGTGTCATCCGGAAGGTGAGAGCTCCGTGTTTCCTCTCCAGCCACTCTCGTAGGACGGGTCTTACCGCCGCTATTGCGGCGTGCCCCAAATAAACCATGATTACACACAAGATATAATAACATCACTAAACTGCATTACATTTTAATGCAATTTTACTAATTATTATCTAGTATGTCATTATTAAACCATTTTATTTTAATAAGATTGTTGTTGCATTCAACCGTCAATTAGTATTTAATTTTATTTAAATGTTGCCTATTTAAATTAAAACGGAAACGGTCATCGATTCACGTTTTAGTTCCTTGTAAGATTTAATCGTAAACAATAAGTTCTATAGAAGTGAATCAGGGTCGAAGTCGCATACCTCTAAAAGTGAAACCATAAATAGGCATTCTTTCATTTGTAGCAAAAGGGTTGATATGATTATGATGTTTTAAGCCCTCTTCAACGTACCTCTGAGCATTTACGAAGCTTCTTTTAAACACAACCCACTCGTATAAGAGTCCCATTACTGAACAACTTTGATAACCCAATTTCGACAACTGTAAACCTCTCACGTGACATTTTGAAAGCTACTCTCAATTACTTATCACGGCAGAAAACGGTTTTTGATTAGTTCATGGTTCAGTTTCGGTATTGTTTAGCAAATCAAAGTCTAGCTTTAATCCAAGCTGGAACTCGAGCTGGCAGAAAACCAGTTAAATGACGCTCTGCAAGTCTTATCGTTCTAACGCTTACATTTCTTACCTCAAATGTGCGTTTACGCGCTTCGGAAGTCGTAGTGAAATTTGGACACTATTAGTGGCGGATTAGCCACATAGCAAGAGTAGCAAATGCTACAGGCCCCGCGCACCAAAGCTTTCTGACCGTAAAAAAAGTTTCAACTTATTTCTATCAGTGTGAAATTTAAACCCACGGGTTGTCACTAAAGTGACGTCGAAATAACAGATTACGCCCAGTCCGAGGGTGAAGTCCCAGACCAGAGCCTTGTCTATTCAACCAGCCAACGCGTCTGGCCAGCGTGGTATAGGAGGGAAAACCTCTTTTCTAAGGAGAGGCTTATGTCCAGCAGTGGATTATTGAAATGATAATGAAAATACCATAAACTACTCAGTTAACCTAAAACAATCCAAGTAGAATTTGCTACAAGTCCGCGCTGGCTTAATCCGCCACTGGACACGATTAATAAATAATAAATACCTCCATGGTCCATTTCTATTGATGTTGATTATAAACCACCAGATTTTAATTTACTGCTCATACGACCTTGTCCCGGTCTTTTGCCGTAAGATCTAGTTTCTCTATATAGTGGGATGGCATCCATAGTTCGAGGATGACTCAGCATACTGCGTATACGAAGCTGGCTACCTGAAAGCGCCATCGCTCTAGCTGCACCAGATGCAGCCAATGGCATTTTACTAATTAAAAAGCAACTGACGACAATGACTCACTGTAAGAACCAAGAAATGTGTCTAAAATTTCAAAGGTAACCCTTGAGGCATGAAAGTCAATATAGTATTGAACAGTGAACTCAGTGAAAGAGACTAAACAAATTTTCATTCAACGTCATAAGCAGTGTTATTGTAAACAAAGTTATGCCACTTTAGAGGAATGGGCGGTCTATAGATGGGACAAAATCAGTGAACAGTGAATGAACGGTAATTTATCATTCGATTTTTTCGTAAGTAGGTTAGGGTTACTACTTACTCACGCGTTGTTGCCAATAAGCTGTTTTCAGACCATGCATAAAGACCCTATCTCGGCTTTTTAACAGTAAATCTAGTATTTATTTTATTATGTATAACTACCATTCCCTACATAACAATTAAAAAGCCTACCTAGCAACACTAACCTACGTACGCAAAAATCGAATAATAAATCACAGTTTACGGTAATTTTTTCCCATGTCTAGGGTGGTCAATTGTGTCTCTGTGTACAGTACCGTCTTTACTGTAAGGGTACACGGGGCCTGTGGCCAGGGCCCCTATCGTTACGGGGGCCCCGAAAAGCGATATTGTCGCTTACCCCATTTATATTTTTTTTCTATTTTAGATCGATATAATCCGACAAGAAAAATTATAAATTAAACTGAAACCCTGAGCAATGACAAGTCAATGAAATTGCTGAAAACGATGTAAAATGTGGCATTGCCAAACTATTCAGATAGGAAATGGGTAGTGCCGAGTTTCACTATCATCGAAAAAGTTTTTATTGGGCTGTTAAATCGCTTTATGGCCTAGATTTTTTTCATTTTCGATATAATTACAGCTTAATTATTTTGTTGCTCAAATTCATAATAGTTTTGAAAAATACCTAAAAAGTACCTAGTAAGTAAGGGTCTGGAGCATATACCCAGTGGATATTTTGCTAAACGTTTTTTTAAGTTGGCGCATGTAGCTTCCGCCCTAAGAACACCTGAGAAGTGGGGATAAACTAATAATAAAGTTGGTGGCTTGGTTTCAAATCTGGTTGCCTGAACAAGTGTTGTCAAGAATAAAAGAAAAATGTGAATTTGCAATTTTAGTGCCGTGCAACTAAATTTAGCGATTGCAGTACAATCGCTAAATTTAGTAGGTATTCAGGCTTTTGAATTTGTTACTGTTGAATAAAGATACGTCTCAAAAGAAAAGAATTCGCAGCACATACCTCACTTTTTTGGAAGATCATAAGAGAATACTGTTACATGGCAAAGAAACATTTCGTGTAGATACGTTTATCGATACATTATATGCATATTTGAAAAATCGTTTAAGTTTTCTATAACGAAGACATTAATGCATATGAGCTGAAATCAGAATATTTTTCATTTAAGCCAGTATTTAAAGAACAAGGCAAGCATTCGAGTTTCGAAAACTTACATATAGTGTTACTAAAAGCTTACATATACAAATCTTTTACTGCTTAATGGTTAACAGTTGTATTAAAGAGCGCTCAGTTTTATACCTAAAGAGAATAAAAAATGAATTACGAACAATTGTTTCAAGAGCGACTAACCTATTTGTCAATTATGTGCATAGAAAGTGATATAAAAAAATAGACTGAAGACATAATAGAAGATTTTGCACAACAGAAATGCCGAAAGAAATCACTGTCGTAATTGTGACAAATTCAAACCTTCAAGCATGCCCATCTAATAAATTATTATATTTGTATCTGTTATACCTATATGTAGATATCTATCAAATTAATATCTATAATTATGTGTGTATTTCATTTTTGCTAATAAACCATTCTACGTAAAAGATCATGGCTTAAAATATTTTTGTCAATTATTTTGTTTTCCTGTCCAAGGTGGCCCCAAATTCTTGTGTGCCCAGGGGCCCCGGCATGGCCAAACCGTCTTGTCTTGGTTTTCTGTGTATTATCAGTAAAATATATGTATCTGGAAAACATTATTAACTACACAAGAAGTTTTAAAGATACGACAAAAATTATGCATTATTGACTTTCCAAGTGCTAGACAAAAAGTCACATAGAACTTTGTAACTGTGATGCAGAAAGTGTAATAGTTTAAGGTGAGTGAGTGAGGTTACTGGAGCTCAAATCCCCCTCCCGCTGACTCGAGCGGGAGGAACTCCAAGGTCAGCAACGCACTTGTGACTTTGGGGTTGCAGGTGTCTCTGGGCGGTAGTTGCTTACTATCAGGTGACCCGTCTGCTCGTTTTGCTCCATTATACCATAAAAAAAAGGTTTGATAATTGATCATCGCCACGCAAGCAGTTAATATGCTTGCAATTAAATCATAAAATGGTTTGCAATACATATTTTATGAATAGATAGTGTTTTAAAAAGATAACAAATTCTATATCATGATATTTTGAAGGTTAAAACTAAATGTTTCAGAAAATAGTAATCAAAATCAGGCAAGATTTTACCTTCAACAAGGCTCTGATAAGGTAACTAATGAGATGACGTTAACTGCTGTTACACCTGATGAAGTCATAAAGATTGTGAATGATATGCCGAATAAAAATTCTTGTGGCTTTGATGAATTGCCAATATCGGTAGTAAAGGAGCATATCGCGATCTTAGCTTTACCTCTGTCTCATTTTTATAATAAATGCTTTGAAAATAGCATCTTCCCAGAACAATGGAAAATAGCAAAGATTATACCATTGTACAAAAAGGGCTTACAAACCGACCCTAAAAATTACAGACCGATTTCTGTGTTACCTACACTCTCGAAAATTTTTGAAAAGCTAATTAAAAGCCGTCTCACTAGCCATCTGAATAATAACATAGTTTTAAATCGGCGACAATTTGGATATCAAAAAAGTATCGGTACGACAGATGCTATCAATACCTTAATTAATGATGTCATAGAAAATATTAACAAAAAAGTCAAGGTGGCTGGGATCTTTCTGGATTTGAGTTCCGCTTTTGACACAGTGGATTATGAACTGCTTTTCATTAAAATGGAACATTATGGAATAAGGGGCAATGTTTTAAAGTTATTTAAATCATATTTAAAAAATAGAAAGTTTTATGTAGAAATTAAGGAGGTAGGAGAAAACAATTGTCAAGAAGTACACCGATCACAACTTTTAAATGTCAGGAAGGGCGTACCGCAAGGTTCCATATTAGGGCCTATTTTGTTTACACTTTTTACAAATGACTTACTATCCTATTTGAGCGTAAAAAAGCCAGATGTTAAACTCACGGTTTTTGCAGATGATACTAACGCTGTGATTAGTGCAAGTAACCTAAGTTCCTTAAATGTAAAAATAATTGGCGCACTAGAAACTTTTCAAGATTGGTTTGCAGTTAACAAGCTTATAGTTAACACAAAAAAGACAAACCTAATCTTATTTAAATCGACAGCTAGTAATAACGATAGATTAGACGTTATGATTAATGGAGAGAGATTAGAATTCGTGAATTCTGTTAAATTCTTGGGGGTTCATATTGATGCATTGCTCAATTGGAAAGAAGAGATAAAATCTATTGACACCTCAATCTCTTCAGCATGCTATGCAATTAGGAGCCTTCGAGAAGTAGTAGAAATAAATATCCTAAAATCCGTTTACCATGCGCTAATAGAGTCAAAGTTCAGATATAGTATACAACTGTGGGGAAATAGTTACGCTTATAATATAGAGAGGGCGTTCATTTTACAAAAAAGAGCTATAAGAACTATAGTCCGCATTCCCCAAATAGAATCATGTCGAGAACATTTTAAAAGTCTTGGACTATTGACGGTGCCTTGTTTGTATATATTGACAACATTGTGTTACTTATCCAAATATATGCACGAGGTTGAAACCCACGAAGAGAGGTTAGTTAGAGAGAGCACGCGGAGGAAACATATTCAACATACAATAAACCCTAGAATGAATATAGCTCGGCACTGTGTTCAGTATCAATCCATTAAACTTTTTAACTGTTTACCGGAAAGCATAAAAAGCGTAATTTATAGGACTTCTTTATTTAAACAAAAACTTGGAGCCTTCCTGTTGGAAAATAACTATTATTCCATCAATGAATTTATCAATCAAAATATATGCAATTAAATACTTAATAACTTATGTAATAATAATAAATATTGTGAATAATATTCTTGAATCATGAAATGCCTTAATATAATTTATCGTTTTTTTTTTGTATTCTGCATGACATATTGTAAAATCTATCAAATTTATTTGTTTTTTGATTATTATGTTATTTATATTTTTGTTTTAATTTTTAAATATTTTTTGTATTACGGCGAATTGTTATACATTCAAACACAATTATATTATTGTTTGTGAATAAATGAACTATGAACTATGAACTAAATGCAAAACACATGGTACCGTAAAATTAACTTTTAAAAAACTGTCATTGTCTTTAACATATGTGCATCATATTGTAATAATCTGTATTCCTGATTCCTTATTGGTCATATTTTTTCCCCAAACTTAAATGGGACCAATCAGGAAGTATACCATCATCAGCACACAAAAATTTTTTTTGAAATTGTTAACAAATGACAGAATTTTGAGGCAATAAAAAAAGTAAATTAAACAATTTAGAGTTCAGGTATTAAGCCTCTTTACTAAGAAGTACAGATCTCGGAGTCACTTTAGGAATAGACCAAAAGCAAATCATAATATTTAAAAAAAAATACCTTAAACTCCACTGCCAGCTATTATTTTGCCCCTTATAAAATCATATGTTGTCTAAACCTCATTTTTTTTATTTTAGTGCCTTGTGATTATGATCGACATATTAGTTTTTAGTTTATAAAAAATCATTAATAGAAATTGAAAATATATTTCTGTACAAAATATAAATAATGCTAGCTTGCTAACTTTGAAAAAATAGAGTAATTAAATTCACAGTATTGTAACACTTAATTGCAAATTAACACTGCAGTTTATAATTTCTGGAAACATTGAATTGCCACCTATTTAATAGGTGCATTCTTTATAGACTTAGTTGTAACAGGATTTCCATTTACTTTGCTTATAAGCTTATTACCCTGCCATACTGCCAAAAGCTTTTCATTCGTTTTCAAATCAATTTGCAATTTTTCCCATACTTTTTTCTTAGGATTTAAAACATCATCTGGTTTGCCAGATTCATAATTCTCTATAACTACCCGGTCACCTGGCTTACTACCTTCTGGAGCTAGTAACGGCTCTACCTGTTTAGGCTCATCAATGGAAGCACAAAGTACCATACCTCTTGACTCTATACCACGCATTTTAGCTGGTTTTAAGTTACATAACACAACAACATCTCGATTTTGCATTTCTTCAATAGGTACATAGTTTACTAAGCCAGATACAATAGTTCTTGGCTCATCTTCTCCAAGGTCAATCTTTTCTACATATAGAGCATCAGCATCCGGATGTCTGGATACCTCAACTATACGTCCAACTCTAATATCTAGTTTGGTTGGTGTACTTTCATCAGAAGCTGCTGCTGCATTACCTTTACTTTTAGAAGGAGGTGGGTAAGCCTTCTTGGCAAGTTCTTGTAACTTGGGGTCTTTGAAAATTTCCTGAATAGGAGCCAAAAGTCTATTGATAGCAGCTTCAACACTAGCTTTCAGATCACCTGGATGTATTTCTTGTTTAGCAAATGCATTTTCAAGATCTTCAAAATTAGAAAACTCAAGATCACCACCATACTCTACTGGTCTACTGATTTTAAAACTTTCATCATTCTTCATCAGTGGAAATACTACAAACTTTGTAAATGATAAGATTCCATTCTCAGTAATATTACCAGGTTCACAGAAAGCTTTTTTAAGTTTCTTCTTAACATTTGCAGGGTTATCTAAGAGATCAATCTTACTATCTTCTTCAGATGCTGACATTTTACCTCCAGTAAGTCCTGGCACCATAGGATTCATTAGATGTACCCTTTTTGCATAACCCAGTTGTGGTAGATATTTTTCTGCCATTGTGAAAATTTTTCTCTGATCCACACCACCAAATTGAGCATCAACTTTCAAGTATTCTTCATCCAATGCTTGAAGTCCAGGGTACAGAAGTCCACTTAGTAATGGATGATCCACTTGTTTCACAACCTCAGCACCTGCTTTTCTAGCATCATGGTCTGTAACTACAGATGACATACGGTAGACATCAAGTGTGTATTCCTTGCTTAGCTGATATTCTGTACCTCTGACAAATTTTAACTTTTCAAGTGGTACACCTATGGATTGTAACATTGCTTTTATGGCAGCTTCATAGTACTGTGTGCGAAGAGCTAATAGATCCCAAGGTGCTTTCATGTTATCTAAATAAGCATGCAGATCAGCAAACAATATTGTTACCTCACAACCAGCGTTCAGGAAATCTGCTAGTTTAGACATAGGCACAAAATAGGCAACATGAGGCCGTCCTGTCGTCGCTGTGCCCCAGTAGATTTTAAGATCCCTTTGTTTTAATATTTCCGAAAGTTTTTCTTCACCTAGAACTTCTTGCAAATTACGTGTTATTAGTAACTTCTTCTCTTCCCACGTAGCCATGATTAATAAGGTCTATAAAAAAGAAAATAGACATATTTAGGTTAACTTTTACCAAAGTTGAAGATAAATTTGCATTAAATGTAATAGATTAATAACACTGAGACTTACCTACAACACCCTGTTTTCAAATACTTAATCAATGCTTACGGTTGAGCACTATAGCTTTATACAGAAATTACAGCAATATGACCAAGATATAATAACACGTAAGTGAAGTGTTCAAGTGTCATGAATTGGCTTACGAAATAAAACGAAATATAACCTCTAAACCTGTTGTTGCATACAAATTCACAAAAACAATAACCTAGCGCATCAATTACGGTGTATAAGAATGAAGTAATCAATTTGATGGATTTTTTTTCAATCCAATTGTAGATTCTCATTTGTTTTGTCCTAAAAGATAATAAAATATTGTATTTTTGACATATCTGAAGTTAGCCACGGTCCAAATTACTTGTTGCCAACTGCTAATTGGCGCTAGTATCGCAGTGAATGCTCGCGTTTCCTGTCAAAAGCGCCATTGCGCATGACAGTCAGTGCGGCCTTGCAGATGAGAGCGCTGCCAACAAAGGCCGAGTCGATGGGGTTACAAAAAGATTGTTAATTTGGACTTGTAAAACCCTTTTGTTGTTGTAATTATAATTTTATAGGTTGTGAATTTGTGATTACGGTTAAGAAAATGTGTAAATGATATGAATCGTGACGGCTAGCAAAGGAGTCAGCTGGTCCACAGTGCGAATAGTGAATAAGAAATGGCGGCCTTGCCAGCAGGTGTTCAGTATGGGTTATCATCGGAGTCTAGTTATAAAGAAAACAAGGAACTAGTGTTTGTGAAATTAACGGATTCAGCGCTAAAAGCTATTGAAGACTTTCTTAGAAATAACAGGGTAAGTACAATCGCCATATTGTTATACCAAAATAAAGATAGGTAAGCCAACAATGTCAGGCGCCATACTTATATTACAGTAATTGAAATGAAACTGCAAATGGTTATGTTTCATTACGATAAATCAGAGTTTTTATTATCATACGTAGCTTAAAAACAAGTCGATGTTAGTAGCATTGCAATATATAATCCTCTCCAATGTCACGCCACGTCAACATGTAGAAAATTTGCTGTGTTATTTTCACAGATTTACATTTCAATTCATATGGCTATAATTAGAGAATTCAGACTTATTGTTGCGGAATTCGGCTTTTACCGTGGAGTTAAGTTACAAATCCAAATTTTTCATTCGTTATGAATTTTCGTTGGACCTTTGCTCGCGATATCAAATCAACTCTGAATAAAAACATTCAAGACCAGCAATAAGTCTTACTTATCTGGTTTACGTGCTGGAAAAACACCACGTTTAATGTTGTTCATTCACTTGAATAAATAAAATATATATTAAGGCGACTATTTAATAATCAATCTGCTATTTAGTGTATTGTGGTATATTTCACAACAACTCATATGTCAGATATAATACATATTTGGAAGTATATATTTTCATTAAGTTTGATCTATATATCTTTACAGTAGTTGATATGAAATTTCTTTAGTTAAATCATTGTACAATTTGATTGCATAAAGTGCAAATAAAATGTAAATTTTGGAGTATAACAGTCCTACTTTTAAAAATGACATAGCAATCAATAAATACCAGGAAAATAGATAGGATTTCTAAGTTGCAACTTTTTACATAACTTTTTTAGAACTTGTAATAAGATGATGATATGAACTTATTGCATCATATGAAAAGAAAGTCCTGTGCCTAATTGTAGATACTCTAAAGTCGTCTGTAATTAATAAAGTTTTAAATATATTAAGATAGATTAGGAAATGAAAATAAAAATGATGCTAATCAACAACTGTTGCATAGTATTACCTTACAATAAAAGATGGCGCTACATGCTTGTTCCTGATAATAATGTTTCAATATAACAATATTACTTGTTATGACTATACACTGTAGCTGTTTATGTACAAATTAGTACTTTAAAAAGTACACATGCATACTTTAAATTTCATATATATATATATATATGTATGTATGCATATATATATATATACACACATACATACATACATACAAAATATGATGATTTTGTAGAAACAGAACAATTATAAAAATATTTTGTTAGTAAAATTGTAAATAAGTCTTAGATTTATTTAAGTACTTTTTTTTAAAATAGGTATAGTAACAGACAACAGATTAGAATATATACAATTATGTTGACAATATACAATACTTAAATCTGAAGTCCAGTCATAACTACACACAAAATTCCATTACAAAGCTTTTTTGAGTGTTTAACATAAATAACTAATGACAGCTCTCATTCTAAAGGAATTCTGGTACACTGATGAGCATGGTTGCATCATAAGATGATGCAAAATGTATTCTTACTTTTAGGGTAGGCTTAAACAATTATACGAGTGCCCCCTTTATATTGATTACAGTAAAATATCTGTTTACAGTAGCAGTATTCACATTTCATTCTTAGCATAGGAACCATTTAAGCTCTTTTTGTTATCATCACACATTCAGGCTTAAATTCTTTGCCTACTTGTTACTTAGAGGTCAAGATAATCTGATGCTTATCATTTTAAATACAATTTGCTGCTTTGAGTACCAATTTAATAAAAGCAAGCTTTCCTCTTTCATAAAAACAGAGTTATAAAAGTAATTGTTTTGGTAATGGCTTGGGTAACACATATTCAGCCTTTATCTAGGTCATTAAATTACAACATGTCTACTAAATAAGTGACCAGTTTGGAAAGTATTTGTAGATCAAATAGGTACTTCCATATTGTCCTACTTTAATTTGTAATATAAACCGTGTTACACTAATCACTTTGTAGCAAATTGTGCACTAATTTATATATATACATATATAGATGTACCTTATGTATTGTGTCTTCATTTATTAGTGATGACCAAATTATATAAGTTGTTTGTAACATTACTTTAAGGTACTAACATATTACAACAAATATTTTAGTAATAAAACCTTTGTAGATCTTACCTCATAATCTCTGAGACTTCAATGTAAAAAGGTTTTTGCAAAATTTTGCTAGATGCTAATAATTAGTTAGCCTGATGCTTATCTAGTAAATCGAAAAATCAAAACATTAGTATTCAGTCGATGAATCTGTATAGGTATATCTAATATAATCTGAATATTGATGCAGTTTCATAACACATAACATTTAAAATCACATGAATAAGAGATTTTTAAATTCAAACTAACTAAAACTATGAATGTTAGACTGCATACATTTAGATTCAATGCAACAAGATACTTACAACATAATCAATCAAATTAATTATTTGTGATACATAATCAATTTACATAAACATACTAATACTATATTTCATGTTTTAATGTTGTTATTTAACAACCCTGGTTAACCCTAATTCAATAAGTCTAGTCTATGCTCAATTAGTAATTTTATATTGGGCTCAAAGGGTAGGACTAAAATTGATTGTATAAACATGTAAGGATACAGTTAAGAAGAAAGCCCAAGTTAAGTTTCAAAAGTAGTATACTGGTTTAATGCTATTATTTACTTAAAAATGGTGAGAAAAGGATATAGGAATTTAAAGTCTGAATAATAGAAATATAAGTATCCAAAAAGCAGTAGAAAGAAATAAAATTATTATAGGAGTCAATGTTTCATTTTCTATGAAAAAATATTGGTATTGTTTTTTATATTACAACATTTTAGCAGCAAGAACATCTGTTGACTAATTTGTATATATTTATATTTGATTATAGTAAATATAACATAAAATCCAACTTCACATTGCTCAAATTCCTAAATTTAGGACAGCCTAGGTAGTACAGACCTGTCTAGACATTTGGGGACCAGTTCCACAAACTCTCCTATTAGGTAAGCATTTTGGACCTACAAGCGCAATGACAATGATAGTGCTACACCAGGTTACGGTACTACTTTAAATTGATTTATTACTAGATACTAATGGTTAAGTCGGACTCGAACCAACCACAAACCGCACACCGTCTTGGGTACCATTTTTGTCGTACAACACTATCCACCCCCGCTGCCCACGGTGGTGTCAGTGTGGAGTAATTAATTATACTATTATGTATTATGATAGGACTATACTACAGGACATCTTTACATGCAATATTTTAGGCCTACTTCAAGTACCTTCTCAGAGTGGTTATCCTTAGAAGACAGACATATACTCTCTTTCGTCTCATGGGTTATCCTTAGGAGATAGACATATACCATCATGACTTTGACTTTTATATAGATCTTTTTAAGATATACATTTCCATAGTACATTATTATTATTATTATTATTTTGGTCTATCTTGTAAGGTTTAGGCAGCATTTGCAATGTAAGCGCCCAAATCATGTTTTTTACAACAAATCTTTGAATATCTTGGATATAATAGGCATGTTTCATACATATAAACCTTCCTCTTGAATCACTCTTTCTATTGGTGAAAAGCACATAAAAATCTGTTGTGCTTAGTTCATAAGATCTTATTGTACAACACAAAAATGCAACTTTATTTTATACTATGTTAAGATTATGAAGTGAGGTAATAATAATAATTTCACACATCTCACACGGCCGTCTGATCCCTAACTAGGCAGAGCCTGTACTATGGTAATCAGACTGCTGATAAACATACTTATATATTTCTAAATACATACATAATATAGATAAATTACACCCAGACACAGAACAAATGATCGTGCTCATCACACAATTATTTGTCCTGGGTGGGAATCGAACCCACGACCTCCGGCTTAGCAGTCAGGGTCACTAACCACTAGACCAACAGGCCCGTCAAAAAAATTAAAAAAAATAAGGTGTAAAATATTACTTTTTTCTCAAAACATTTAACATTGTGATCAAAATTATCATCACCCGATCACCGTCTACTACTGAATGCAGGAAGTACACTGATGAGAATTATATTATTTAACGATATCATCACTTGTGATGGTGACGATAGTTAGAACTAAATAGTGTAGTAGTAGGTAGAAAATATCTAAACATTGTTTTTATTCATTGTTTTTATTATCTGCTGTGCATTTTCGAACTGCGTCCATGATCATGTGATTTATCACATCTTATCAAATTAATCCAAGATTCATTATCATTCGTGACAGAACATCATAATAAAATAAAGACAAGTAATTAGTGAAATGAGGATATACATACTGTGGAATGTGTATTCAATAATTATGTGGTCTCACTAAGTATAAGATCATTAGCTAATATATTTCCAGTCTATAATATGCATCCTTATTCTAATGTTCATTTTGATAATAATCTCAGAATTTGATGACAATGTTATCAATTCATTTATATATTGCCATATTCAGTATTTAATGTTTCTTTAACCTAATAGATTCTTAATGCCATCATTATTCTCTACAAAAAGTGATTAAACTAATATTTGTTATGATTTCAATTAGGTAGTATAATTACAGATATTATTTACTCCTCAACAGTTATATGTGTTCCAAATCATTAATATTGTGATAAATGATCACAGAGGATCTTCAGAGTTCATTGCTATTATGATAATATGTTACATGCTGTGTTGTATACCCAATACTTTAGTTTCTTTTTAAGTTTAGCTCCTTAAATAAATAAAAAGATAATTAATATATTATGATACACCCAGTTAATTTTTACACACCCAGCTTATAATATACCATACAAGGTAATATGACATACATTTTCTATAATACTCTAATGATTAGGAACTGTGCTTAGCAAGGGGGTCAGTCACACTTTAAATGCAGGGAAGTGCAAACTTAACTTGTATCATCTGTTACAACCATATGTATATAAATAATGCTTCTATCTATTGCATTTACGAGTCATAGGATACTGATATAGGGCTTACC